GTCCATTTCTANATATTATTTAAACTAGTTATTTTTTTTAACTATGTTAGATATATATATATATATATATATATATACATATATATATATATATATATATATATATTTATGTATTTATTTATTTATTTTGAATATGTTAGATATTATTGAACTGTATTATTGTAGTAAATTGAAGTACTATAACTATGGTTATAAGCTAAGGTGTGTGATAATGGATTGAGCGTGCATTGGCTTGATCCTAATTCTATCATATACAATTAATTGATCGTGTTGTATGTATAGTAGAGGTTAGATCTCTCCAAGTCAAAATCTCGATCCGAGTAACATGGTATATCTCTCCCAGGTATCCTATGAACTAGTTGGTTAACTTGTTGAATAGATGGATGTCCATCCTAATCCTAGGGAGCTTTCACCTTATGGCGATTTGGTGTTCCCCGAACCGACGCCGCTCCTGCCTCCAACAAAAATGCTTTACGCTATAAATGAAAACAATTATTGGTCAAAAAACAGGAAAAGGGGTTTGGGTTTTGTTACGCTGTTCAACCTGCATGACTCTTTTGACATATAGATCCTTTGATGGGCAGTGGTGAGGAGTGTGGTTTGGTAGGGTGCCAATGTCAGCCACATGAGGAGGGTTTAGTGTAAGTGAAGGAGGATGTGGTGAAGTTAACAAGAGAGTTTCACAAGAGGACAGAGAATTATACAGCTATGTGTGCAAACTGCAACATTTATTGCTCTAGTCCTGAAAGATGAAGAGCAATTGCATCGTGTGGTACAGGAGTTGGAGAACCTGGTGAGTTTATTTGGCTAAGTATTGTGAATTTATACTTAATGCAGGGAGGAGAAGATAGATCCATCTAAGTATAAGATCCATTACGTTGTTATTCAATTAGATCTTTGTCTTTTTCTTTGTGGTTAGAGACAGACACACCTCAGTTCAATAGTTGCAATGCATTCCTGTTCGTGTAAGTTTTGTATTCCTTTTGTTCAGTTTTTTGAGACATGATAACATATTTGGAGCAACTTACATCATCAGGATTTCCAAATTCTATCACTGGGATTGGTGTAAGGAAGAAGAGATTGATGTATGTGAGGGTATGGGGCTACTTGTTTGTTCCTTTAGGGGTTTCAGCCCGTGAAATGCTGCTCATTTACAGAGCTCATGGATGATAGCGTGTTCCTTGTAATCGGTAGGGTTTTTGTGCCTCGGGAGTCTGTCTCTCTCTTGGTATTTGTGAGATTTAGAGATGGAATGATTATGATTGGATTTTCAGAGGATAGATGGAAGATGGTTTTGGCCAGAATTTGGTGGACTGCTATTTCTTGTGCCATGCTTGGGAATAGAAAATTTAAATTTGACTTTACTGAATTAAAAAGGAAGTGATTAGATAATCAAACTCAAAATCCTCCTAGTATGGTGCTTAGCCTTAATTGTGATAGAGGTTGAAAAGGCAGGTAAGGGTGCAGTGGGGTGGGTGCATCACTTACTGTGGGGTTAGATGGATTTGATGGAAGCAAAGAACTTCACTGATTTGGTGGCTTCTCCTTGTGGGGGAAATTTTGGATCTTTCTTGGAGTTGTTACTTTTGAACCTCATGCACATTGATGCCTTTTTAGAGGCTGCCCTCTTACCTATTTGGGTTATTGTCAGTTCGGAGCGAAATAGTTGACTTTGGAAATTTTTAGCACTTTTTTTAAGGAGGTTTTTTTATTGAAATGATATAAAAGGTAAACCCTGCAGTAATAACTGGGATCGTTTAAGCCCTTCAGTGATATTTTCCCAAGAATAAAAAACGCTTATTTCCTAGCTCAAGAGTGAATGCAAAACTAAATCTGCATTTGAATGGTACTGTTTATGTTTGTGAAATCTTTGATCAAGACAACTTTGTTGTTATTGCCAATAAAATTAAAATTACTAACTTACAAAATGTATTCTTGTATTTGTTTTCTATGCATGTGTGTCTGCAAAAATGATGGAAATATACTGCATGAGAAACAACTGGTTTCATGCTACATTTGGTAAAAACTTACCCAAAAAGATAATATGGTGAGAAGAGTAGGTGTTTGCTCTCATTGTTGAAGGAATACTCTTTTGGGGTGAGATACAGTCACTTTCTAATACCTTGTTATTGTAGTCTGACTATCTTCTCACAGTTTGCGTGTGTTTTTGTGGGCATGTGCATGTTCTATTCTGATTAGAATGCTGTATTCTGGAGCTTCTAGTAAGTTTTGATTTTTTAGAAATATATGATTATATCATGATTTAAAAGCTGCCAAGTTAGAAATGCAAATGCTAACTTGAAAACTTCTTCCCCTCCCCATTTCACGCGCGCACACACATAATCCTTTTGCTCAAAGTATGTTATGGATTAGAAGTTGCAAAGGAGGCCAATTAAGTGGCCGACACTCTAGCTAAACAAGGAGCATTGCTGCCTACGCCCTAACTGCATCATCTGGTTTTTCTTTTTTGGCTACTGTTTTTCTTAATATTCTGTAATAGCAGTGTTTGTACCTTTTTGCCCTTTTTCTTTTTTGCCGGCACGACACCTCTGAGTGTGCGTTTTTGTATATTGCAAAATACAAAGTCAACAGTTTAAAAAAAAGAGGTAGTTACAAATGCTCTCTTAAAGGTTCAGACTCTCTCTCTCTCTCTCTCTTTCTCTCTCTTTGAGATACTCACATGCTTTCTTAGGAGATTTTTGATGAGCTGGTCCAAGGCTACAGGAATGAAATGGAACTTGGTACACTGTGCAAAGATGGCTCTGAACGAAGACTGATTCAATATTGCGGTAAGGTTCGTACTTTAAGAATGGTTGCTCAATTGGACTCAAGTTGCAGGTAAATGACTCTTTTTCTTTTTTTTTTGATAAATGCATGACACTCTATTAAGCTGCATGGATATTCTGTGACTGTTCTCTAGTTTTCTTTTAGTCAGACAAAATGTAGATTTTCTATTTTAGTTTTGCCATGCATCTAACCAAGTGTCATTTACCTGGATATTCTGTGATTGTTGTCTAGTTCTCAATTAGTCTTGACAAAACACAAATTTCTCAAGACATGGATTTTCTTACTTGGCTTCTGCCATGCGTCTAGTTCATTATAATAATTCACAAGCTCTGAAAAGGTTGGATGCCATGCATATTTTCTATTTGGTACTGATATGCTGCTATTAGGGAAACAATTGTGGCGGTGTACACTATAATCTAATGAACTATGTGAAGGCCATGGTCCAGTGGGTGCCCATTATCTGTTGAAACAATCGATGGTAATGACCCAATAGACTATGAATCTTCTATATTCCACTGGATTGTTGCCCATCTTCTCTGTGACTGATTATAAATGACAGAATTGTTCATGGCTTCTCATAAACTAGGTGAATTTAGTGAATCTATTCATAGGGATGGTCCAATCTAGTGGTTCTGACCCACCTGTATGTTAACTGTGGGTCCCACCCGTGTATAATTCGATTGAACTATTCATGCAGATGGAACACATAGTTCTGGTGTCATGGACCTTTGTGATGACCTGGAAATCTATATTTGCCCCTGATTATGATATTTGATACAGCAAATATGACGCGAAGTGAAAATGGATGGTCCAGATAATGTGTTATGAGATGTATTCTTTTAGTTCTTGAGGGTTTTTTTTTTTTTCTTAATCGGTCTATAGCATACGCAGATGAGATCATCAATTTCAGAGTTTTGTGGCATCGAACCTGCATTTTCCGATGAAATTTGATCCAGGGTTTTGAAATGCTGTGACCTTAACGCCAAGCCTGTCTATTGACTTATAACGTTAAATGTTTTTGAAAGTATGTTTTTGTTTATGAAAGCACTTTAGGTCTCACTGAAAAATGCAGCTCGTTATTGAAAAATGAGAAAAGCAATCATCTCAACCTCAAAATCATGGATTTGGAAAAAAAACAAAAGGGATTTTGACATTCTTGCAACATATTTTTCTGGACCGTCCATTTCAAGGTTTTATGGATTTCTAATTTGCTAGACCTCTATCATTTTAATAGCATTGATTTCGGAAGAGATTTGGAGGCAATCACAAGGGCTTTTGGGGCCGGGACTGTATTTTCGGACGGAGTTTTAAGATGCTGCTTTAAGGTTGCAGCCCTGCCAAAACCGCACCCTTTTCAGTTTGAGGTTAATATGTTGGGAAAGGTTTCTATACTTCCCCTTCAAACTATATGATGGGAAAGGTTTCTATCGATATACACTTCCCCTATCTAGCTGTCCAATTTAGATCAAGTGAACAACAGACCGTTTGATCTAGATCCGACGCCTCAGAGTATTTTATTTTTAGTTTTTTCTACAAATTGTATGAATATGAAAGTAGTACGTGTCATCTTCTCCTAAAAAAAATATTAAAAAGGATTTTTTGATTATATTTTATTGGGATTTTCTTTTAATTTTTTTTTTTTTTTTTTACAAGTACGAGTTTAAGAGGAGAGTGGATGCCCAAATTCGGTGTCAAAAAATTTTATATAAAAAAAATCAAAACTAAAATAGTGTAGAAACATGACATTGTGATTGGGTCATCTCAGCGGTTCATTGTGAATGGACAGTTGGATAGGGGGATTATAGAAAGCTTGCCCTAATCTGATTTAGTAGCTTTTTTCTTGGTAAGTAAACTTATATAGTAGCTTATTTGCTTCATTTTTGGTATTCTGCTTAACTACCAGAAGGTCTATTTTTTTATCCCAAGGGATTTCATCATCGTCTTACCCATATTGTTGATTTTGCTTTTTTGTTGAGAGAGAGTGAGAGAGGGGTGCCACCGCTATTGTTATTCAAATTGGAATTTTTTCTGGGGCTGAGTTACACCGTTGTCATTAACTTATTATACATGACTTATTGTGAGATTTGCTTGAAATTATGTCGGATTTACACTATATTTGTTTCCTTAAAATTGTGTTTCATCCTGTGTTTTCCATTCGATAAATATCTAATTACCATAGCCAAACAATCCTTCCATATCTGTCTTAGATTTGAGCCTTCTTCCTCTCTATATACACACGCACATTTACATGCTCCAAAACAAGAAAACATTTACATGCTCCAAAAGAAGAAAACAAACATAAGAAGAAAAGGAGAGAGAGAGGTCAAACCCTATAATGGCAGCCACCAGCCTCGAGCTTCTTTCGGTTCTTGTAGTCATATCCATTTGAAATCAAGGTTTTATTTTTTTGTCTTCTTATTTGGCACTATTTCTTTTATTTTTACTAGATTTTCTTATTGGTATGAATTATATGAGTGATGATTCCAACAAGGAAGTATCCTCTGGCACCTGTTAAGTTTCAAACAGGACATCAACAGGCTCCTCAACCGTCAGTTGTTTGACACTGGAGGTTGCTTTGTTTGATTTCTTTTCGGGGAAACTGTTTATTCAAGAACAGGCACTGTCTAAAAGTAGACTGTGTGTGCTTGTGTGTGTGTGCTAGTGTACCAACACACACATGCGTTTGAGAAGAACTGGCAGTGTTTCCAAAACCTCGGAGTATGTGTTTGTGCATGTGCACATGCCAGTGAGCCAACACGCACACATGTGCTTGTATATGCAGTTTTATGCATAAGAATATATGCAGTTGATACCTCTGTAGATGCATGCATCTGTGATCTGGTAGAAATATGTGCATAATTCCTGAAAACCTATTTTGATGCACTGGTTTATGCGTAAAGCGAGTGTTATTATGCTTTTGGTTTTTTTCTTTTTTTGTTTGCTCTTATATGTAATATATGATACATACTTTCACACTGATTTTTTTTAAAAATAAATGAATTACAATATAAAAGTAGAACAGAACTTAGAGAAAAAAAAAAGGTGGAATAACAGGAGATGAGAAATTGAATGATAAAATTGGGAAAGTAAATAAATGATTGAGAAAAAAATCAAGGGAAATGATTAGGGATAATGAATAAATAAAGAGGCTGGGGAAATCAGGTAAAAGATGGTTCCCAAAATAATATCTAATCTTTTCCTTTTTTTATTAGTAGTAGATTTGTATCTTCATACACTTCTAATTTCTTTCTTTCCATTTTGTCTTATTTTTCATTGGCTAATTTATGCATTTAGCCAACAATACCAAATTTGTATTTCAATGATCGTCAAGGATAACTTGAAATGAAGCTAAACAATTTTACAAACAATCATCAAAAGCTAGACTTTATTGTTATGTTAAACATGATACACGAAGAAAATTCTATGTTCTATTTAAAAATAACATGACTATAGAAGCTCTATAATTGCTTTGCAAGTTTATATGGGGCAAAACTATCTTCTTATTCATATCTGCATCACTGCACTGGTGAAACTCTAGTCATTGTTTGTGTCTGGTTTCATGTTTTTTATTTTCAGGATATGCAAGTAAATGTGGAAGCTCCAGTATAGTTGTGACCCAAGCAAAGACTGGTCAAATGGTTGAAGGAAAAGCTCAGTTCCAAGTGACCATCAGCAACAGTTGTGAGTGTCCTCAATCGGATGTCTTGATCGGATGCTTGGGGTTCAATAGCGTTGGACCTTGGCCTAACCCTTCGATCTTTCGGAAACTGAGGGACTCGAGTTGCGGTGTTAACAATGGCAAGCGAATCGTTCGTGGGTCTCCTGTCAAATTCACTTATGCATGGGACTACCCTTCTGATCTCCCTGTGGTGGGGGCCCGAGCTCGGTGCTCTTAGTATATTTGCAATGGAGGCCTCTTTTCTTCCTTCTTTTTCCTCTTGATATATAGGCTTCGTGGCTGGATGTTTTGGTTTCCTAATAAAACATAACACGGTTGCTTTGTCAATGATATAACTGCAGTTTGATGGTTTTAGGACTTGTTTTGCTTAGCTGTGGTTTTAGCAATGCTAATTTATGGATGTGATTTGTATAAGATGTCAGTCTTAAGCAGAGCAGCTCTAAATCTTGCTATAAAATGCAGTTTTGGTGCCGGAAATCCTTTAAAAGCCTAGAAATCTATTTTTACACTTAATTATGAAATTTAAAGCATAAAAATGGTGTGGATCCAACAGATATATAAAACTTAAAAATTTGAAATGGATGGTCCAAATAATCTTACAAGATTTACTATTTTTAAGGCTTAGAATTTTTTTTTGTCACGACCATACATATCCACGGCATAACTGAGTGGATTTTTGAAGTGCACCTTCCCACTCGTAAAGGAATGTTTTTGCAATTTATGTTGGTAAAGGAGTGTTTTTTGCAATCTATGTTGAAGCTGCATTCATATTTGACATTTGGAAAAGTAGTTTGTGCGTCAGGGGATGCATTTCTATAGTATTAATCCCCTAGGGCATTAGACATCCATCTTGTAAATGCATCTTGTAAATGGATGTTAAAAGATGGTGGCCCAACCAAAATATAAAATTGATGGTGTTAACATTATATTAAAAAATCCCAATTTTTACTTTTTTATCTTATTTTTTTTCAGATTCATACTCATCATAGTTGATATTTTCAGTCCTTCAATTTTTGGTCCATCTCTAAAGTGGATTTTGGAGAGGACTCATTAAGGGACTTCTAGAAACCTTGTTTTTAGTGTTTTTTGGAGAGTTAGACATAGGTTATCTTTGTGGGTAAATGTGCTAGAGGAACTCTGGATTAATAGGCCTATATAGCCAGCCCAACAGTTCTCTAGAGTACTTTTATGGTCTCATGGGTCATACTGTGCAAAACGATACAAATGCACGCTTACCATGTAATTTTCCTTACCAAGAGGGAGGAATTCCAAGGCAATCTTAAGCAATGCTAGTTGAAAAGAAAGTCCATTCTTACTAAGATGCGGTTGTACTAAGATGAAGGCTGGCCCGACTGACCCCATGTTTTTTTTCACTGTCTGTCCAGCCAGTCATGACCCCAACAAGGCTAGAGCCCGGCCCAGTCTAGGCCCTTTTTGTCTTAGTTTGGGCTGGACCCAGTCCAGGGCCTCTGTGTCCTAGTTTGGGCCGGGCCCAGTTCAAGGCCTCTTTGTCCTAGTTTGGGCCTGGGCTCAGTCCAGGGCTTCTTTGTCCTAGTTTGGTTTGGGCTGCACTCATACCGGCTCTATAGGGACCAAGCCTAAACTAGGGTCAGGGGTGGCCCATAGCCAGCTGCATGAACTGAAGATGCAACTTTGTTGTAGAAGATCTTGTGATAAAGGAAAACAGCCCGGGCTTAATTGATTAGCGCTTGACGATTTGCGACCCTACATCCTAGGCTCAACTTCTATGAAGGGTAGGGGTCCTCTCCTTGCTCAACTTCTACCAAGGGTAGGGGCACTCTCCCGACTGACTTACCCAAAAAAAAGAAAAGTAGCATGAATTTATAAAATGCTTATTGTTAAGGTGATTTTATTTTACTTACCAAAAAAAAAGATCTTGCGAAAAGGGGGCTCTTTCCCCACTGACTCACCCAAAAAAATAAAATAAAATAAAAATAAAAGCTTTCCTAATATTACATGTGAATTTTTATAAAATGCTTATTGTTAAGGTGATTTTATTTTACTTACCAAAAAAAGGGATCTCGTGATAGCATGCAAATCTATTTTTGCCCCTACCTATGGAAATTGAAATTAGATCTATAGTCTACAGAGGATCAATCTGTAGAATGCATTTTTAGCAAGACCCGAGGTGCGGGTCTATAAAGCCATGGACCCCCAAAATACTTTCCTTATAAGAAGGCAAGTCACTTATTTCTTGAGGGTTTTCCCTTCTTGGCCTTCAAAATTCAAGTTTAAATCAGTTTTTCACCTGTAGCCAAGGATTATTAGAGGAGGGTTTTTTATTTAACTTTTGAACCTCTGAAAACGCCAAAAAGAGAAACTAAATATTGCTTGGTTCAAAATTAGATTTTCAAATTAGGAGTAAAATGGGTAAGATATATAGAAGAATTGTTTCATGTAGGCAAGACCGCATTTGTACAAAAGTAGTCCATTTAGCTTAAAAGATAGATGCAAATAAGTATGCGGTCCAGAAGTATAAAGCATCCTATCTTAAAGATGGATGCAAATAAGTAGTCCATCTAAAAACAATTGTAACTAACTGTCTAAATGTTTTCTTAATATAATTACTATTTATAGGTTTCAAAATTTATTTATTTTTTCATATTCATGATCTTTATGTTAAAGATTATTTATTATCTAAAAAGTAGGATCAAATTATATTTAAAAATATATTTATTGCCCATCCAGCATTTGTACAGCTTGGCTGCATGTTGCTCGTGTCCTTATATATAAGAGGGGAATACTGGGCCCTACTCATTTTAGAAATAGTTAGTGGTTTTCAAATGCTTCAACGAGAATGGAAATCTAATGGAAATCTAGACTAGTCGTGGAGGCTTAGCTGGTACTACCATCACAACCTCAACCCTATTGTCATTTTTAGCTATTAGGTGTGAAATCCAATAGATGAAAGTGTCACAATATTCAAGAAATTTTGTTTTGGACTTTGTGCGTAAACAATTGCATATTCTCAACCACCCAAGTTGAAATATAAAAAAGAAAATGACCTCTACCCACCTCGCTTAAATTTCCATCCCTATTAGCCCATATTTTCACCAAAATCCCTTACACCTCTTCAAGTTTAAAACTTTGGGACCATTAGTTCCCTAATTATGTTTTTCATTGTTCTTATTTACAAATTTTATCTATTTGTTTTACAAAATGGCAAACCCATACATTAGTCATCCATTTTTTTTTTTGTGACTTGATATACAAATTTTATTGATGATAATAATAATAATAATTATAATTAATTAATAATTATAAGAACAACTATAATACATTAATTGTTAAATAATTCATCTCTTATAGGTATTTTGATAAAGTTTTTTTAATAAATGAATAAATAAATAATAATAATCCATGAACAATAGTAACAAAGATATTGATTAATCATTTTTCAAGTTCACAAGATATTGACACAATTGTCAAATAGGTCATAATATTAAAAAAATTCATTTTCTTTTCACGTCTAAATTTATGGAGTGGAATCCACGGAGGTAAAAATTGGTTTTAGGCAATGGAAGAGAAAGGGAATGTAGCATTTTGTAAAATAAAAAAATCAAATACGTTGAAAAACAAAACACAATTAAAAGGCTAACGGCCCAAAATTTTGAACTTGAGGGTATACCAGGGATTTTGGTGAACCTAAAAAACCAATAGGGATGGAAGTTTTGGGGAGGAGGTGGAGGTCATTTTCCTAATATAAAATCAATTATGATTGTGACCCTGGTATAAGAAATATAAAATCAATTATGATTGTGACCCTGGTATAAGAATTAAATGATCTAGTTATATACATTTCCTCCAAACCAAAATGAAGATTCACCGTAATGTTACATAAAATATGATTTTAGAGGTAAAAGCTGCTCCTTTTCTAGTATTTTTTTGGGATAAATCGAAACTAGGACGCAGGGCAGGAATGGATTGAACTTAGGCGTGAATGTACTAAAAAGATGAATTCATATATGGACCCGGTTTTTATGAGTCAACCGACATATACTATTTTCGACCGGGATCCCTCTAACACCCATGTTTTATATAGATATTGGATCCAAAATTTGTAGAGATCCATGGTCTACGCTATAATGATAATGAAGATAAAAACTAAAATAAAAGTTTGAGATTTTATACTATGAGAAGTGTTCAAAAAATCGAACCGGCCTCGAAAACAGGCCAAGGGTCAGGTCCGAATAATCGGTAAACCGACTGGTTCGACCTGCTTAATCGGGCAGGTCCCGGCTGGTCCAAAAAGAGTTAAAAAAAAAAAAACAAAAAAATTAAAAAAAGTATGAAAAGTATATTTAAAGCATGATTAAACAAAACACATCCAAATTGTGTGAAAAAATAGTGAAAAAAATAGATTTTAAAAAATCTATTTATGCCCTGGTGTATTTATGAAATTTTCTAAAAAAAGGAAAAATGTGAAAATAAATATTCACGGCCAAAACACTTTCCAATATTAGCCAAAATGATAAAAAACACATTACAAACAAATCCTTGATTTTTTGAGATTTTTATATAAAAACCCGGCCGGACCACCAAAACCGGTGAAAACTAGATTGGCTAGTGTTGTGGTTTGACCGGCTGATTCCGAGCTTAATCGACCAAGTTTACGAACATTGCTATGAGACCATTTATTTTTTGTGCAAGAAGGTCACAACGTTTCTTAATCATTGGATATAAAATCTAACATATTAAAATGTATCACAACTTTCCAAAAAATTTGTTTTAGACTTTTTTTTTTGACTAGGCACACATAGAAATGGAATTTGAGACGTTGAGCTATGAAAACCCAGCTTGTACTGTCTCAACACAAGCCTGTTTCCTAAAATTTGTTTCACACTTTGTGCTCAATTAGTGACAGATCACCACCCATCCGATTTCATATCTAACAATTGACAATAATTGTGATATTCTAGTATTAAAAGTAAATGGTCTCATTATACACATTTTTAATTTTAGAATACCTGTTTTAAAATTTGTTCCTATCCTTTAGACAGGAATAGTTAGTTGTGGGGGTTTATCTTTAAGATGAACGTTTCTAAGCTCACTCACCGTGATATATTTTAGTTATCCTGAAACTATTGCATGCATAAAACATGACAAATGAAGCTTGCTTTCGGACATGCCTCCAACCGTTTATCTGGATACTATAATAAACACCAGCTATAGCATTTTAGAGAGAGGGAGCTATGGCATCAATTTTCCTCCAGCTTTTGTGCGCCCTTTTGCTGGTCCATTGCATCTTCACACAAGGTTCTTTCTCTTCATTAATCATATTTATCTTCTTTTTTTCTTTTTTTTCTTCTTCTTCTTTTTTTATTTTTTTATTTTTTTTTATATGTGTGTGGGGATTACTAAAGTTTTGGATCAGAAAGGAGGAAATAAAAAAACTAGGATGAGACCGTAGGAGCATATTTCGTAAGTGAAGCTTTAATTTAGGACCATATTTCTATTTCCTTATTGGATGTAGGGTCCACAATGCCCATACTTTTTCGGGTGCGGTTTGCTTACGGTTGCAATATTTAAATAATCAAATTAAGGCGCACCTATTATAAATGTAATTTTTGTGTAAAAAATTCTCAGGATGGTTTGAAGATATATTTTTATATCTAATTATAAAATTTTAAACTCCAAAAATAGTTCAAATCAAGTAGATATATAAAAAACATAAAAATCTTAAACATGGATGGTCCAGATAATTTGTTGCAAGATACACTATTTTTTGGACTGGAAATATTTTTTCTTTTCATATTCATACATTTCGATATCGAGATGATCGATTTGAGATTTTTCCAACATCAAAACCTCCTTTTATGATATATTTTTGAAGTGCACCTTAATTCTATATTTAAAAAATGCAGCCTTATATAAAATTTTTCCTTCTTTTTTAGGTTGGTTAAATATCCATTAAGTGTAAATACTTTTGTATCCTTGATCCATCACAAGCCAAATGTAAATCTCTTTTGCTTTGGGCAAATACTAAACTTTATCTTCAGTATCTTTCTCTATGTTATATGTCGGCACGAACAGCTAAATGAAAGTTTAGTAAAAGAAGCTTGTTTCTTTGTGTGGACTGAACTCTCACTCTGGAATTCGGCTTCGGCTTGATTTTGATCGATCTACATCTCGAGTTCAATTCCTACACTGAACTATCTTATATAAAATAAAAAAACTCTCTATATGTAATGTTCTTGGGGGCAACACTCTCTTTCCATCAGTCCAATCATAAGGCGATGATGACTATGAATTTAGGCCTAATATGGTTTGTGTTCCCTTGGTTCTTGGGGGTAGGCAGTTCATTCATTTGGACATGTTTTTAATTGCCTGTGTTTTATACTCATGCCAGTATCATGCCAAAGTTTAGGGTTTTTTCTATTTTTGAGTATTTTTAAAAAGTTCAAATAAAAGGGCTATGGTTAGTGATGAACCTAAGGATCATTAGTGTCCCTTAGTTCGGAGGGTAATGATGAATTATGGTTTTTTTCGTGGTCCTCAGGATTATGGTGTACTTTCCCATGTCAGAACAGGACACACAGTCCTGTGTTTGTGTTAGTATGATTGCACAACGTGTGACGTAGGGTTTGCCAGAGGAGTCCGATGTTTGGTAGGGCGAGCGATGGGCTGGCAGGCCTTGGCCCTAGCCTGGCCCTGGTCCCCATAGGGCAAACCCAGTCCCGGGCTCTGGCTCTGAGGCCTCAGTCCAGCCCTAGCCCTATCAGGTCTGGCTCGAGTTAGCTAAAAAAGTGACATAAATCAAAGAAAAAGTAGAAAAAAGCGGGTTGGGCTGGGGCACCTGGGCCTGGTGGTTTTCTAATCACTAGTTTTGAGCACATATGCTCCACAAAAAAGATATATAGAGTTTTTATTTGAGAGAGTATGTTATGCAACCTTTATGATTATGGTAACACTATGCTCACAGGAATTATCACCTCAGCATTATAGATCCAGAGGTGGTGGAGGAATTATAACATGGAGATAATAATGGGACAGTGGTGACTAGTGACCATACTATTGTCATGATCATATGAGACAGTATAATATAGTGGTCATGCGTTTTGCGTCATTTTTGAAATTTTCTCTGTAATTACTTGTCCATAGCAGATTATCCTCCATGCAAGATCAGAGACATTTTGATCACCCAGGAGATTGTTGGTGTGGTCCACGGAGATATACCACAATTTGAGGTGACCATCAATAACACTTGCTACTGCGATCAAGACGGGGTCTTGGTTTATTGTGCTGGGTTCGAGACCATGGAGGAACCTGACCCAACCATCTTCACAATGGTTTCAACATCGATTTGCCTCATAAATCAGGGTTTAACCATCTATGAGGGTTCACCACTAACGTTCAGATATGCATGGTGGAGGCCCTCACATTTTCCTCTCATCACTTCCCATGTACTTTGCCCTTAAGCCATCTACATTGTCTTAAATATTTCTCTTTAGGCCTTATATGCAGTTATGTAACCAGGGTTATTAGTATCCTGCTGGCCATGGACCATTGAGGGGGTTAGTGTCGTCAAATTCGGTCCTTACCAGTCTAGCTGATAATATTTTTTTAAAAAATAAAAATAAGAATAATAGTTTAAAACATAAGATATATTACAAGAAGTTTGTCTACCAGAGGTTCAACTAGTCAAAACCAATCAAAAAGTTAATTATGACTGGGTTTTAACCAAATCCGAATTTTGTTTTGGACTGGAATGACAATAACACGGGTTGGTGGTCCAACCTGTCTAACCATGCAGTCTAGTCTGATCTTGATAACTATAATGTAAAGAGCTCTATGGATCTGAGTGGTTGTAAC